CACCCCGAGTGTTAATTCATCGGGTAATTCTCGACCGGCAAAAATGATTTTAATTCCAGCAGTTTTGACGGGTCCTACTAAAAACCGCCCGACCGCCCGAGACCGCCCGAGAGTATAGAAAAACCGCCCGAGACCGCCCGAGAGTATAGAAAAACCGCCCGAGAGTATAGAAAAACCGCCCGAGACTTTAAAAAAGCGGCTGACAGAAATCTGAAGTTATTTTGTGTTTTTAAATTAAATACCAGTAAATATGAAATGTCCTAAGAACCCGTATGCTTAGACAAGAACATTTGACACTAACTAGCACAGATTAGCGGGCTGAATTGTAATTGTGCATGGAAATTCTCCTGGCTCTGTTGTTTTACTCAACATGATCCTTATGTTTTCCTTTGCCCGGCCTGCATTTAAAACAGTGTCTTAATCAGGATACCAGATGTCAGGATACCAGTTTAATCATACCAGTTTAATCATAGAATACATTGAGATCAAGGAGACAATAATCGTAACTAAAGTTATGACATCATTTATTATTCAGCCGGCTTCTGCGCATTGGTTCTGCTCATAACATTAGGGATTTAGAAAGTGAAATAGTAATAATATTTTGACAGGACCGTCGAAGTCCTGCTCTCTGACCGTCGAAGGCGGTTTACTATACTCTCGGGCGGTTTTTCTATACTCTCGGGCGGTCTCGGGCGGTTTTTCTATACTCTCGGGCGGTCTCGGGCGGTCTCGGGCGGTTTTTAGTAGGACCGGTTTTGACATTTTTCTTGCGAGCAATTTCGTGTTTTAGTTGAGCGATTGTCCAGGATGGTTGAAAACGAAGGTTAAATGATTTGCCGTTGAAGTTTACGGTCACGTCGTGCGACATACTTCGCTAGAAAAGCTCGTGTATTTCCTTGCAATTGAGAGAAAATAATTCAAAATATTTTGCTTCAAAACGAAAGTTTGGAAAAGAAATGTTTGAAAATTGAAAGTTTAAAACGAAGGTTGCTTCCACTTACCAAAACAAACTTCATCTTTTTTCCTTGAAATTTCACTCCTTGCCAGTTTTCTGATCTCTTGGAAACACTGGAATGTTTAGCGTTTTCTATGTTGGCAATCAATATAATTCCAGAGATTAGGTTAGGATTAGGGTTAAATTTAGGATTAGGTTTTACTCTAATTAACAATAAACCTAAAACCAAATCTTAACCCAAATCGTAACATAATCTCAAATAGTAAATAAGTCTGAGGGATAGTTTTTTTAACTCATTAACTGCCAAAACAAACTTCCTCTTTGCCTTGAAATTTCACTCCCTGACAGTTTTCTGATATCACGATAAACTGGATGTTTAGCGTCTTCTATGTTGGCAGTATTATTCCATTTAATCCTTGAGATTAGGTTAGGATAAAGGTTAAATTTAGGATACGTTTTAACCCTATTAAACTATAAACCTAAAACATAATCTTAACCTAATTCCTAACATAATCCGAAAGATAAAATTCGTGTATTTAGGATTTAGTGAACATGGAGTTTTATATTAAAAACTATCGCAGCATCGTCAGCACTTTTGAAAGTGTAAAATCGCATTTTAATAGAACAAGTTAAAGCTTTTAAAGTCGACTTTAATTACTGCAAAATAATATTTCTCTAAAATCTACTGGAAATATCAGAAAAATGTTTAATTTAGCTCCAGCTCACTCCGTTCTCTCCGTCAGCTCGTAACATTTTCAAATTCATTTCTGCAAAAACAGCAGCAAATTCCAGGAATTCCTGAGTCCAGACCAGTCCTGACAGGAAAGGACGCGTCTTATGCAAACACTTTATAATGAAGAGATATTTGTCTTCATAAACTGATCATTTTGGAGAAGATTTCCAGAAAATACAAACACAGACAACTTCAAGAACGAACACTGGATCTATATTCAGTCTGCACAGCGAGGTTTATACTAAATAGCGACAAACAACACAGAACTTGGTCAAGAACGACGTGAAATATGGCTTCATGTATACAAGGCTACGATGAAGAAAGGTTTGCGAACCAAATCGATCGAAATTTTCATTGTCAGATTTGCTTCAACGTCTTGAAAGAGCCCGTTATGTGTTCGAGAAACCAGCATTCTTTTTGCCGTTGTTGTATTACGAAACATCTGGAAAAATCTCAAACATGTCCAACGTGTGCTGATGAACTGACTGTAGAGACTTTGGCCGAACCACCGCGAATGGTAAAAGATTTTTTAAATGAATCGAAAATTCGTTGCGTTTACATCGACAGAGGTTGTCAAGAAATTGTAGAAGTGCAACATCTTGACCGCCATGAAGATACATGTGGATATACACCAGCCGTTTGTACAAACCAAGGCTGTGGTTTAATTGTCAACAAGCGTGATCTTATTCGCCATGAAAGTGAAGTCTGTGAATTCCGAAAGTTGAAGTGTCACTCGTGCGGAGAAATGACGAAAACTTTGGCAGATATCGAGGAAAGAATGGCGAATATCGAGAAGAATAATCTAACAATTGAAACTAAAATAACAAATTTAGACAGAAAAATAGACAAAAATACCGCAGATTTAAAAGCAGATATGGAAGGAAAACACGAAGCGGTTAACAACAAAGTCGATGGATTGAAAACAGCTTTGGTCAGAGCTTTTGATGAAATAAAGGACGTTCTTATCACGATGGAGGGCAAGATAGAAGAAAACACAAGAAAAGTAATAAATAGACCAAGTGGTGATAAGGAGAATACAATTGTTGCTGGAGGTTTATTGACTAACTCTGTAGAGATGTTTAACTGGCGTCAAAGAACATGGTCGCCATTACAATCAATGCCAAGGAAACGTTACGGAGCGACTTCATTTATTTATAAGAATCATATGACTATAGCTGGGGGTGGCTGTGGCGGGTCTGACATTGTTGATGATATGATTAGAATGAGTATTGACCCAAACCCTGATCTCACAACACACTGGAGTGACTGTCCTGTTAAACTACCTGATAAGTTGAGATACCACAGCAGTGTGCTGTATAATGATCAGTTGATGGTCTCTGGAGGTGAAAAGAGAAATTGTTCATCTAAGTTGATCAGAGCAGTCCAGCTTGTTCCTCCCTATACTGTGAAGACCTTATCAAGAATCCCAGAACCAAGACAAGGTCACAGCATGGAAATATTTGATGATAATTTGTTGATAGTTGGTGGAAGAACAACTGGCGGATACAAAGACAACCTCAGCAGCGTCGTACTGTACGATATAAAGAAGAATGAGCTGAAACAGTTGTCACCACTTCCATATGAAGTGAGTGTTATGGCAACTGTGAGATGGGGAGACAACATTCTTGTTATTGGTGGTGAAGACAGACATGGCAAGACATTAGATACAGTTATCATCTACAATGTCAAGACAGAACAAAGTCACATGCTGCCATCAATGAGATGTAAGAGGAGGGGATGTACTGCAGTTGTTATTGAAAACAACATTGTAGTCCTGGGAGGGAGGGGTGAGCAAGGACACCTGAAGTCAGTTGAAGGTTTCAACTTTGAAAGGTATTCTTGGGAAGAACTTCCAGAAATGTCTAAAGCAAGATCGTGGCACACTGCTGTTGTTGTGTGAACAATATGTAAAGTATTAATTGAAAACTCCTAACATATTATGAACAATTGAAATGAACAATAAGATTTTCACAAAGTTATAGAAATAGATTGCAGCATTCTAAGTTGATTGTCGGACATATACTGATTTGTATTTTTGTGATTAAATTTAAATTGTGTCAGTTCTTAGAATTATATATTAAAGAACAATAACAAATCTATGAAATAGATTTTTTCATTGGGGAAGGTTTAAAGTGAAACACCAAATAAAACATTTGAAATTATATTTTCTGCACCCCCTCCACATAGGTTTTTCACCACCACCCCCCTCCCTCCTTAGCTTTTCACCCCCTCCCTCCCACAGGTTTTTTCACACCCCTCCTACCACCTAGGTTTTTTCATCCACAACCCCCCCTCCCACCTAGGTTTTTTCAGCCACAACCTGACCCCTCCCCACCTGGGTTCTTCTGCCCCAGCCCCTAGACCAAGAATCCTAACTGAGCCTCTGGCTCCATAGGAAGCCCAGACAAATGAGTCGGCCATTTACTATACAACTAGTGACGTAACTTACCATATTATTGGGAAGGAAGAAAACTCTCGCCTCATTTTTCAAACTGTTGACAAATTAAAACACAAATTAGTGAAATTACTATAGTAAAACGGCACGTCGACTGCTAAATGCCTACCGTAGGTTTAAGTTGAATAATCAAACTATACTTTCATAATAAAAATAGTGCTGAATTCAAAGGAAAGCGCTGGAAAAACGTACACAAGCTTTGTAAATTTGACGAAATTTTCATGAATACATGCGGGATGTAAGTACGTACCCAAAATGGTGGCTGGCAGAAGAATCTGATTGGTCGATCATTCTTTGTTTACCTTTCACGACCAATCAGATTGGTTGATCATACTTTGTTTACGTTTTTCGACCAATCAGATTATTCTGCCGTCGCCGATTTGGGTACGTACTTACATCCCGCATGTATTCACGAAAATTTCGTCAAATTTACAAAGTTTGTGTACGTTTTTCCAGCGCTTTGCTTTGAATTCAGCACTATTTTTATTACGAAAGTATAGTTTGATTATTCAACTTAAACCTACGGTAGGCATTTAGCAGCCGACGTGCCGTTTTACTATAGTAATTTGTGTTTTAATTTGTGGATATGTTGAAAAATGAGGCGAGAGTTTCCTTCCTTCCCAATAATATAGTAAGTTACGTCGTAGATTTGTCTGGGCTTCCTATGCTGGCTCAAGAAATAGCTCAGTTACCTATTTTAAATATCAGCCTGTCTGTAAATGTCTGTGTCTGTCAGACTGCCACAGACCAAGTCATATTTTAAAATTTAACAATTAACAAGATTTGGAGAGATAGTTTTACTCTTTATTAAAACAAAACCCTGATTAACTAATATAAATTAGTTTGTAAAATAAAATAAAATTCTTGTTTCAAGTTTGCTCACAGATTGTTTTGTAATTTCACGTTTTCCATCGCGTCCTTGAAGGCTTTTAGTACAAGATTTACATTATCTTTTGTACTGTTCAACCCCATCAGACCAACACGCCATATCTGAAAAATTTCACGACAAAAAGTAAGGTTTTTCACAGGGAAAAAAATTTACGATTATGAAGGGAATATCTGCGAATATGGAGAAGAAAATTGTGAATATGGATACCTTTCCAGCAGATCTTCCAAGACCTCCTGAAATATCCATTTTATATCTGAAAAATAAATTGATTATTCAATTTTAACACTCTCCCTCTTTACTGAACTTCAATGAATCCCCCCCCTGCAAGTATTAAAAATAGGGTTTTTGGCAGGGGGGTAGCTTCCCAAGATTCATCACTCAGCAAGTACCGTTAATAAAACGAACTACCCCCTGCCCATATTAAAAATGGCGCAGTTGGCAGGGGGGTGATTGCCTTCATTTACAGTACTTGCTGAGTGAATGAACCACTTATGCAAAAAACTATGGAGTTGTTCTTCTGATAGGTATTCTGTGCCTACACTTTCTTTTATTTTTATTGTATTTTTATCTTTACTTGAAAGCACGACATGAAATAACCATTTAGACCTAACCCTGGGAGCGACGGGAGTCAATGACCAAATCATTACTCATTCTGTTTCGAGAAATGCATTATAGTTTAAAATTTAGTTTAGCCGAATTCATATTAGAGGCGGGAAACTCGTCTTACAAGGTCAAGGAAAACAGGAAACTCGTCTTACAGGGGAAACTCCTCTTGGAAACTCATCTTAGACGGGAAACTCCTCTGATGTGAATCATGCTACAGACGGGTTTCTCGTCAGAATTTTCCCGCCTAACTTTCCCGTCTAAACAAACGGTTAATTTGAACGGGAATCCCTTCTGGACGAGAAACTCGTCTTAAATTCGCATTTAGACGGATAAATCAGACGAGTTTCTGAAATATCAACACGGTCAAGGACGGAACAAGGGTAAAGCCCGCCGCACAAGAGAGCTATCAGCTGAGCTAACGACCTCGCGAGGAAGTTAACTCAGCCTGAAAACTATCCGCACACCATAGAAACTTGCCTCTCGAGGCGAATTCCTCACGAAAACTATCCGCACACGAGAGTAACTTGCTGAGCTAACAGCCTCGCGAGGTCTTTACCTCAGCTACCAGCTCTCGTGTGAGGCGCGCTTAACTGAGAAAATAAACAAAATTATTATCGTAACAATCACGATACCCTTTTTAGCATTACCCGACCCATCACACGTGTAAATTTTATATCCATTCCAAGACATATTAAGACGGGTTTTTACAATCAACTTTCCTGTCTAAGATGAATTTGGTTATTAATGTGAGAGAGATGATACCTTCGGCTTCTCCGCTTCCTTGAATATACAATCCATTGTTATATGGTTTGTTGTTGTTTGAATAAGAACGTGATTTTCGTCACATCTTCGCAGCAAATGGTGTCATGACAGAACTCCCTGGTTTGCAAATTATGTCGACACCATTGTGTGTACGAGAGCCTCTGTATAATGATAAATTCACGTTAATTTAATTGTTTTGTAAGATTATAAGAATATTATCGATTCGCTGTGTTGCTACAAGGTTACATCTGGTCTTACCTTGGTGTTCCGAAATCACCACAACCCTGACTGTCACATTCACGGATTAAATTTCTGACATTTGAGCTGCAAAGCTGACCAAGTTTAAAATATTCAACCGCATTATCTAGAAAAATAAATCCAGAAAAATACGATGAAGAATAACGAAGTGATACTTGAGCATTCTATGAACAAAGATATATATCACAATATGTATTCCAGTACCTGCAAAGACTAGGAATATAACAACGATCTTAACAACTCCAAACATCTTTGATCTGCTAAAATTTAATCTTCTAGCTTGAAATGGCTTTTCATCGATTTAATGACCGCACTTATACAGGATGTTAAAAAAACACAACACTTAATATTTATGAATATTTTGATACGCTATACGATCTTTTGTGATCAAAACGAAAGTGAATTTCATGAACACTTTGAAGTTGCGTTTTTCTTATTCACCACAGCTGTAGATCAATCCACAAGATATCCTGAACCATTTGTGTGTTGATGAAAACTCATTTAGATTGGAATATTATTGCACCGCGAAAATATTCAACTTGACTTAGATAGAGTAAAATACTAAAGTAGGTCACATCTGGGTGCATTGCAAGCTAATGAGTTTAACAAGAGACACTGAAAGATAGTTTTGTTAACTTATTATCTGACAGTATTCTTCCACTGATGAGTAAAATCATCTGACTTTAGACACAGTAAAATACTAAAGTAGGTCACATCTGGGTGCATTGCAAGCTAATGGGTTAACAAGAGACAATGACAGATAGTTTTGTTAACTTATTAACTGACAATACTCTTCCACTGATGAGTAAAATCATCTGACATTAGACAGAGTAAAATACTAAAGTAGACCACATCTGGGTGCATTGCAAGCTAATGGGTTAACAAGAGACACTGACAGATAGTTTTGTTAACTTATTAATTGACAATACTCTTCCACTGATGAGTAAAATCATCTGACATTAGACAGAGTAAAATACTAAAGTAGGTCACATCTGGGTGCATTGCAAGCTAATGGGTTAACAAGAGACACTGACAGATAGTTTTGTTAACTTATTAACTGACAGTATTCTTCCACTGATGAGTAAAATCATCTGACATTAGACAGAGTAAAATACTAAAGTAAGTCACATCTGGGTGCATTGCAAGTTAATGGGTTAACAAGAGACACTGACAGATAGTTTTGTTAACTTATTAACTGACAGTACTCTTCCACTGATGAGTAAAATCATCTGACACAATTAGGAAAAATCTAGGTTCATAATGCTGGACCATGCAGTTTGACCCATTCACTTGGCATACATAGTTCAGTGATTATACTCCAAGGCTATTCAGGATTTAGTAAACATGAAATTATTTCCATTACACCAGATAACCTTTCACGGCTCCAGAGTCCAGATTCCAAACCTACGATTCCGTGTTTTCCATGGGATCATTTGTAAACAAATACCAGCCCTTATGAAAGACGCTTGAAATATATTTCAGCCAAGAGATTATTTTTTGTTTCTTTAACATATAATTAGTCGAAAGATTCGAAATAAATTCTAATGCAGACTTAATCCGCATCGATCATAAGATACTTAGTCTAAATATTTCATTGTTATGATTGATTTTTCTTGGTATAAAGTATCGTTATCCATATAATGAAATAAGAAATTCCTACCAACATAAACACAACCAATTGCAAGTCAGTATTTCAACAATAGGTCAATGACCTTTTGTCACAAGACATGAAAATAATATCATATTTTCATACAAGCAAATTCCTGTCTACAAAACACTCCTTAAATATATTTGTCTTCATAAACTGATCATTTTGGAGAAGATTTTGAGAAAATACAAACACAGATTTCCCAAGAACGAACACTGTATCTATATTCAGTCTATACAGCGAGGTTTATACTACAGAGCGACAAACAACACAGAACTTGCTTTATTATTACGACAAAGAACGACGTGAAATATGGCTTCATATATACAAGGCTACGATGAAGAACGCTTCGAGACCAAAGTCAGTCAAAATTTCCTTTGTCAGATTTGCTTCAACGTCTTGAAAGAGCCTGTCCTGTGTCCGACAAACCAACATTGTTTTTGCCGTTGTTGTATTACGAAACATCTGGAAAATTCTCAAACATGTCCAACGTGTGCTGATGAACTGACCGTAGAAACTTTAGCCGAACCTTCACGAATGGTAAAAGATTTTTTAAATGAGTTAAAAATTCGTTGCGTTTACATCGACAGAGGTTGTCAAGAAATTGTAGAAGTGCAGCATCTTGACCGCCATGAAGATACATGTGGATATACACCAGCCGTTTGTACAAACCAAGGCTGTGGTTTAATTGTCAACAAGCGTGATCTTATTCACCATGAAAGTGAAGTCTGTGAATTCCGAAAGTTGAAGTGTCACTCGTGCGGAGAAATAACCAAAACTTTGGCAGATATGGAGGAAAGAATGGCGAAGAATAATATAATATATGAAACTAAAATAACAAATTTAGAAAAAAAATATGGCGAGAAATACCACAGTCGCAGATTTAAAAGCAGATATGGAAGGAAAACAGGAAACGGTTAACATCGAAATCAAAGGATTGAAAACAGCTTTGGTCAAAGCTTTTGATGAAATAAAGGACGTTCTTATCACGATGGAGGGCAAGATAGAAGAAAACACAAGAAAAGTAAGAAAAAGACCAAGTGGTGATAAGGAAAATATAATTGTTGCTGGAGGTTATAGAACTAACTCTGTAGAGATGTTTAACTGGCGTCAAAGAACATGGTCGCCATTACAATCAATGCCAGAGGATCGTTTTGGAGCGACTTCATTTATTTATAACAATCATATGACTCTGCTGGGGGTTGTGTCAGTCTGACATTGTTGATGATATGATTAGAATGAATATTGACCCAAACCCTGATCTCTCAACACACTGGAGTGACTGTCCTGTTAAACTACCTGATAAGTTGTGTTACCACCACAGTGTGTATAATGATCAGTTGATAGTCTCTGGAGGTAATAATGGACATGGTTCATCTGACTTGATCAGAGCAGTCCAGCTTGTTCCTCCCTACTGTGAAGACCTTATCAAGAATGCCAGAACCAAGACAACGTCACAGCATGGATATATTTGATGATAATTTGTTGATAGTTGGTGGGAACAACTGGCAAAGACAAAGACAGCCTCAGCAGTGTCGTACTGTATGATATAAAGAAGAATGAACTGAAACAATTGTCACCACTGCCAATGAAGTGAATCTCATGGCAACTGTGATGGGGAGACAACATTGTTGTTATTGGTGGCGTCGACAAACATGGCAAGAGATTAGATACAGTTTCATTTACAATGTCAAGACAGAACAAAGTCACATGCTGCCATCAATGAGATGTGCAGGTGGGGATGTACCGCATTGTTATTGAAAATAATATTGTAGTCCTGGGAGGGTGTGGTCAATTTTGCTCCCCGAAGTCAGTTGAAGGTTTCAACTTTGAAAGGTATTCTTGGGAAGAACTTCCAGAAATGTCTGAGGCAAGATTCTGGCACACTGCTGTTGTTGTGTGAACAATATGTAAGGTTTAAGTGAAAACTCCTAACATATTATGAACAGTTGAAATGAACTATAAGATTTTCACCAAAGTTATAGAAATAAATTGCAGCATCTAAGTGATTGTCAGAATATACTGATTTGTTTTTTTGTGATTGAATTTAAATTGAGTCAGTTCTTGGAATTATATATTAAAGAACAATAACAAATCTTTAAAATAGATATTTTCATTGAGGAAGGTTTAAAATGAAACATGAAAAAAACAGTTCAAACAATAGGTAGGTGGATGAGTGAAAAAAATTGATTAAATATTGACCATGTTGGATCAGAGTTATTAGTTTCTATTAACTGTGGTTTGGATTAAAAAATTCAACTTTCCCAGAAGGATAAATATTTCTGGGAGGAGACATAAAATGAAAGGGTAAACTTACGATATTTTAGAGCATGTGATGCAGGGAATATTTCTGATGTTAGATTTCAACATTGATAATAGGGCCTGTTCATCTCTACCATGATGTTCCCCACATTTGAAATAAAATTCCTTTGAAAGAATGAGATGTTTTTAATTTTTTTCAACAATCTGGTATGAATTGTCTGTATTTTGTGCAATGCCAGATGATTTTACTCATCAGTGGAAGAGTACTGTCAGTTTATAAGTTAACAAAACTATCTGTCAGTGTCTCTTGTTAACCCATTAGCTTGCAATACACCCAGATGTCATCTTTAGTATTTTACTCTGTCTAATGCCAGATGATTTTACTCATCAGTGGAAGAGTACTGTCAGTTAATAAGTTAACAAAACTATCTGTCAGTGTCTCTTGTTAACCCATTAGCTTGCAATGCACCCAGATGTGGCCTACTTTAGTATTTTACTCTAGTGTCTAATGTCAGATGATTTTACTCATCAGTGGAAGAATACTGTCAGTTAATAAGTTAACAAAACTATCTGTCAGTGTCTCTTGTTAACTTATTAGCTTGCAATGCACCCAGATTATGGCCACTATTGTATTTTAGGTGTGATAAGTAAATAACTTACAGCTGTTTTTCCCTGATAGTTTGTATTGGATTCACATTGTCCCTGCATGCAGCCTTTGATCAATACATCATCTCAACCATTTGGACCCTTGCAAGAAACCATAAATATTGTGTAAACAAGATGTTTGTTGACATTCAAAAGCTTTCACAGCAACTTTGTAAACAAACTGTAACAATGTCAACACTTTATAAAGTTGTCTATAAATCTGCTGGAGATTTTTACAAGTTGTTTATAAGAAAACAGTAAATACCTGTGATAGAACAAAGCTTCCTTCCTTGCAATTTGAACATCGACATCGCAATTTTCCTCGTGTTAGTTTCTTGCAAGTTTTACAATAAACAAAGAAGAAACTTTGCTTGCCTGAGATGAGAGAGGACGAAAAGTATGGATTATTAAACAAACCCTGGTGTTAAAAAGAGGAGGGTTTTGTATTGATGGGGTATAATATAAGATTAGGAGCGTAAGATATATTATTATATGACTAGTGTTTGTTTTTGTAAATCCTGCAATTTGATTGGCTGCTGAGGAGGCGGCATTTTCCCATATTGCCCACGGGCAATACGCTCAATTTTTATTGACTGGATGTAATGGAAATAAATTATTATTCGTGCTTATGGTTTTCCCAAATTAAGTCATATAATAAATAACTTACTGACTTTGATTGTTCGGTCTGTACAGTAAAATATCAAACCTCGATACCGAGTGATAGCGAGGTCAATACGGCACGACCTCGGTTTGATATTTTACCGTACAGACCTCACTCTCAGTCAGTAACTTCTTATTAAAAGACATATAAGGAAGGGTCAAGGGTGTAGGGAAGGGTCAAGGGTGTATGGAAGGGGGGACTATACAGGAGGTTAAATTGATAGAGGGTCTATTAGAGAAGAGGTATATAAAGGGAAGGCCATATTAGGGAGGGAGTATGGGGGAGGGGTTATTTTAGAGAGTTATTTTAGAGGTGTATTATAGTCATGAGGGACATTCTACTAGGGAGGGGTATAAAGAGAGGGTTATTTTGGAGTACTATTTAGAGACTGGAGTATTAGAGAAGTATATTAAAGAAGGGTATACTTACAGGGTGGGGTATAAAGAGCAGGTTATTTTAAGAGTATTATTTAGAGACTAGAGTATTAGAGAAGTATATATTAGAGAGAGGTATACTTATAGGGTGGGGGGTATAAAGAGGGGGTTATTTTGGAGTATTATTTAGAGACTGGAATATTACAAAAGTATATATTAGAGTGAGGTATACTTATAGGGTGGGGTATAAAGAGGGGGTTATTTTAAGAGTATTATTTAGAGACTGGAAGATTAGAGAAGTATATGTTAGAGAGAGGTATACTTATAGGAGGGGTACAGGAAAGGAGTTGTTAGAGTGTTAATTGGAAAGGGACATTACAGAATAGGTATGAAGGCACATTAATTGGGAGGGGCATGAAGAGGGAATTGTTATAGGGGGTTAATCAGAGAGAGGGTTTTTCTGTAAGAGAGAAATCCTGCAAAGGAGGGGTATGTGGAAGGAATTGTTATAGATGGAGAGTTAGTTGAAGAGAGGGTGGGAGGGAGAAATATACAGAAGGGTTTAGAGTCAGACAACTGGAGAGAGGGGTTTTTAAAGAAGATTGAGGTGTATTTGTGAGGGATATACTATGGAAAGGTATAAAGAAATGGTTATCACAGTGGGGATGGATTGGAGGTATTTATTGAGGGTGTGTATTAAACCAGGAAGAACACTAAAAAGAGAGTGGTCACATCATTGAGAGGTTTATGAAAGATCTCGTCACCACCTGATTGTTCAGATTCACCATCTTCATCTTCGTCATCCTGTGTCAGTTTCACTTTCGTCAAACCATCATTCGCATTGTAAGTTGCATCAACTGAGATCTGACCAGATTTCTGAACAGCATGAATGACGCTGTGGTTCATCTCTGCATTCTAAAAAAAGTTTCAGATCTCTGAATGTCAGACTGATTGTCGACTGATGGCAATTTAAACACTGAGAATTCTGAGAATCATCTGAAAAATCCTGGAAACTGTCCATGAGTGAGAATTCACGTAAGTTTGGGTCAGGTTTTAGTGGAGAAAGATGGCTTTGAAAAATGTCTTAAAATATCATTTATCAAGATTCAGACACTGTGATATTCTGAGATGAACTGACTCAAGCAAGACAAGCTGTATCATAATCTATCTCAGATTTACTATAACGAAGATGGGTCGCTTTAACATCAAAACCCGAACTTAAAAAAAACCTCATTTATAAAATCATTTAAACATTTCACAGTAAAGCTTTCGTTATTTCTTTGAAAATTGTTATATAAATCACATTAAAAGCTTGATATTTTCCTAAAAATCACTCACCCCGAGTGTTAATTCATCGGGTAATTCTCGACCGGCAAAAATGATTTTAATTCCAGCAGTTTTGACATTTTTCTTGCGAGCGATTTCGTGTTTTAGTTGAGCGATTGTCCAGGATGGTTGAAACGAAGGTTAAATGATTTGCCGTTGAAGTTTACGGTCACGTCGTGCGACATATTTCGCTAGAAAAGCTCGTGTATTTCCTTGCAATTGAGAGAAAATAATTCAAAATATTTTGCTTCAAAACGAAAGTTTGGAAAAGAAATGTTTGAAAATTGAAAGTTTAAAACGACGGTTGCTTCCACTTACCAAAACAAACTTCCTCCTTTTTTCTTGAAATTTCACTCCCTTGCAGTTTTCTGATCTCTTGGACACTGGAATGTTTAGCGTTTTCTATCTTGGCAATCAATATAATTCCACAGATTAGGTTAGGATTAGGTTTAAATTTAGGATTAGGTTAACCCTCTTTAACAATAAACCTAAAACCTAATCTTAACCCAAATCGTAACATAATCTCAAATAATAAATAAGTCTGAGGATAGTTTTTTTAACTCATTAACTGCCAAAACAAACTTCCTCTTTAATTCCTTGAAATTTCACTCCCTGACAGTTTTCTGATCTTTCGATACACTGGATGTTTAGCATTTTCTATGTTGGCAGTATTATTCCATTTAATCCTTCAGATTAGGTTAGGATTAGGGTTAAAATTAGGAATAAGTTTAACCGTATTAAACTATAAACCTAAAACATAATCTTAAACCCAATTCCTAACATAATCCCACAGATTAAATTCGTGTATTTAGGATTTAGAACATGGAGTTTTATATTAAAAACTATCGCAGCATCGTCAGCACTTTTGAAAGTGTAAATTCGCATTTTAATAAACAAGTTAAAGCTTTTAGAGTCGACTTAAATTACTGCAAAATAACATTTCTCAAAAATCTCTGAAAATATCAGAAAAATGTTTAATTCGCTCCAGTTCTCTCCTCAGCTCGCGATATTTTGAAATTTTTGGAAACACCGCAGCAAATTCCAGGAATTCCTAAGTCCTGACAGGAAAGGACGCGTCTTATGCAAACACTTTATAAGGAAGAGATATTTGTCTTATAAACTGATCATTTTGGAGAAGATTTCGAGAAAATACAAACACAGACTTCTCCAAGAACGAACACTGTATCTATATTCAGTCTATACAGCGAGGTTTATACTACAGAGCGACAAACAACACAGAACTTGCTTTATTATTACGACACAAGAACGACGTGAAATAATATGGCTTCATATATACAAGGCTATGATGAAGAAAGGTTTGTGGACAAAATCAATCAAAATTTTCATTGCCAGATTTGCTTAATGTCTTGAAAGAGCCGGTTATGTGTTCGAGAAACCAGCATTCTTTTTGCCGTTGTTGTATTACGAAACATCTGGAAAATTCTCAAACATGTCCAACGTGTGCTGATGAACTGACCGTAGAGACTTTATCCGAACCGAATAGAATGGTAAAGATTTTTTGAATGAATCAAAAATTCGTTGCGTTTACATCGACAGAGGTTGTCAAGAAGTTGTAGAATTACAGCATCTTGACCGCCATGAAGATACATGTGGATATACACCAGCCGTTTGTACAAACCAAGGCTGTGGTTTAATTGTCAACAAGCGTGATCTTATTCACCATGAAAGTGAAGTCTGTGAATTCCGAAAGTTGAAGTGTCACTCGTGCGAGAAATGACGAAAACTTTCGCAGATATGGAGGAAAGAATGGCGAATATCGAGAAGAATATGGTAACAAATAAAACAGTTGAAACTAAAATAACAATTTAGAAAATATTGCCACTGTTGCGAATAATATGGAGAAAAACACGCAGATATAAAAGCAGATATGGAAGGAAAACACGAAGCGGTTAACAACAAAGTCGATGGATTGAAAACAGCTTTGGTCAGAGCTTTTGATGAATGAAGGACGTTCTTATCACGATGGAGGGCAAGAAAGTAGAAAACACAAGAAAAGTAATAAATAGACCAAGTGGTGATAAGGAAAATATAATTGTTGCTGGAGGTTTATTGACTAGCTCTGTAGAGATGTTTAACTGGCGTCAAAGAACATGGTCGCCATTACAATCAATGCCAAAGAAACGTTGGAGCAACTTCATTTATTTATAACAATCATATGACTATAGCTGGGGGTTGCTGTGGTGGGTCTGTCATTGTTGATGATATGATTAGAATGAATATTGACCCAAACCCTGATCTCACAACACACTGGAGTGACTGTCCTGTTAAACTACCTGATAAGTTGAATACCACAGCAGTGTGCTGTATAATGATCAGTTGATAGTCTCTGGAGGTGTAATAAAATGTTTCATCTGACTTGATGAGAGCAGTCCAGCTTGTTCCTCTATACTGTGAAGACCTTATCAAGAATGCCAGAACCAAGACAAGGTCACAGCATGGAAATATTTGATGATAATTTGTTGATAGTTGGTGGAAGTACAACTGACAATTACAAAGACAGCCTCAGCAGTGTCGTACTGTACGATATAAAGAAGAATCAGCTGAAACAGTTGTCACCACTGCCGTATGAAGTGAGGCACATGGCAACTGTGAGATGGGGAGAAACATTGTTGTTATTGGTGGCGTTGACAAACATGGCAAGCATTAGATACAGTTATCATTTACAATGTCAAGACAGAACAAAGTCACATGCTGCCATCAATGAGATGTAAGAGGTGTGGATGTACTGCAGTTGTTATTGCAAACAACATTGTAGTCCTGGGAGGGAACGGTGAGCGAACAACACTGAAGTCAGTTGAAGGTTTCAACTTTGAAAGGTATTCTTGGGAAGAACTTCCAGAAATGTCTGAAGCAAGATACTTGCACACTGCTGTTGTTTGTGAACAATATGTAAGGTATTAAGTGAAAACTCCTAACATATTATGAACAATTAAAATTAACTATAAGATTTTCACAAAGTTATAGAAATAGATTGTAGCATTCTAAGTTGATTGTCAGACATATACTGATTTGTATTTTTGTGATTGAATTTAAATTGAGTCAGTTTTTAGAATTATATATTAAAGAACAATAACAAATCTGTGAAATAAATATTTTCATTGAGGAAGGTTTAAAATGAAACATCAAATAAAAGAATTCAAACAATAGGTAGGTGCATGAGTGAAAAAAATTTGATTAAATATTGACCATGTTGGATCAAAGTTATTAGTTTCTATTAACTGCGGTTTGGATTAAAAAATTCAACTTTTCTAGAAGCATAAATATTTCTGAGAGGAAACGTAAAATGAAAGGGTAAACTTACGATGTTTCAGAGCATGTGATGATGGGAATATTTCTGATGTTAGATTTCAACATTGATAACGGTGCCTGTTCATCTCTTCCATGATGTTCCCCACATTTGAAATAAAATTCCTATGAAAGAACAAGAAGTTTGTGATCGACCTACTTTAGTATTTTACCCCGTATAATGTCAGATAATTTTACTCATCAGTGGAAGAGTACTGTCAGTTAATAAGTTAACAAACTAATATCTGTCAGTGTCTCTTGTTAACCCATTAGCTTGCAATGCACCTAGATGTGACCCAATATTGTATTTTAGGTCTGATAGGTGGATAACTTACAGCTGTTGTTCCCTGACAGTTTGTATTGGATTCACATTGTCCCTGCATTCGGCCTTTGATCAATACATCGTCCCAACCATTTGGACCCTTGCAAGAAACCATAAATATTGTGTAAACAAGATGTTTGTTGGCATTCAAAAGCTTTCACAGGAAGCTTGTAAACAAGTTGTAACAATGTCAACATTTTATAAAGTCTAAATATAAATCTGCTGCAGATTTTTTACAAGTTGTTTATAAGGAAACAGTAAATACCTGTGATAGAACAAAGCTTCCTTCCTTGCAATTTGAACATCGACATCGCAATTTTCCTTGTGTTAGTTTCTTGCAAGTTTTACAATAAACAAAGAAGAAACTTTGCTTGCCTGAGATGAAAGAGTACAAAAAGTTTGGATTATTAAAGGAGCCCTGGTGTTAGAGAGATGAGCTTATTAGAAAGAGAGAGGCCTAATATTAGAGAGAGAGGGGCTTATTAGAGAGAGAGAGGGGCTTATTAGAGAGAGAGGGGCTTTTTAGAGAGAGAGGGGCTTATTAGAGAGAGAGGGGCTTTTTAGAGAGAGAGGGGCTTATTAAAGAGAGAGGGGCTTATTTGAGAGAGAGTGGTTTATTAGGGAGAGAGGGTGGGTCTTCATGGATGAAGTATAATATGATTAGGGGGGAAGGCAGGGTAGAGAACCCTCTACCCAGGGTTTCTCCATGAGGAAAATGCAAGGGTATCAAGCTGGGGATAGGAGTTTATTGGAGATAGACAATTAGAGAAGTGGTACAGTACTGTGTTAGAGGACATCCAGGTAAGGGGGTATGGGCAAGGGTGGGTTGGGTTAATTGGAAAAAGGGGTTTTAGAGAGGAGGCATATTAGAAAGGGCATGCTAGTAGGGAAGGGTATAGGGGATTGGCTAGAGAGGGTTAATTAGAGAGGGAAATAAGGAAAGAGGTACATTAGGGAGGGGCATACTATTAGGGAAGAGAATAGAGAATAATTTGAGGGTTAATTAGAGAGGAATATTGGAGAAGAGGTACATTAGGGAAGGGCATAATCATGACAGAGGGGAATAGAGTGATTTGAGGGTTATTTAGAGATGGCTATTGAAAGGATATTTTATAGAGAACAAACCAGAGAAAGGGTTATTGGAAAAGAGGTGTATTAGACAGGATTGCAATACAAGGAACAGAAATTATTATAGTGGATTAACTAGAGAGAGGTTTATCAGGAAAGAGGTTTATCAAATCAGGTCATATCAGAGAGGGAGAGGAACGAGGGTGAACATAGCGGGAACATATTGGAGGTATTTATTGAGGGTGTAAAATTAGGAGGGGGATTAAACAGGGTGGGGTCACATTATTATCTAGAGGTTTATGAAAGATCTCGTCACAACCTGATTGTTCAGATTCACCGTCTTCATCCTCGTCATCCTGTGTCAGTTTACTTTCGTCAAACCATCATTCGCATTGTAAGTTGCATCAACTG